GCTATTGGTCAATAAGATTCGTAAGCTCCTCTTCTCTCCAAAGGTGTGTAGGTCATTTCTGATATAAAATACGTGGAAAGAAATAAGAAGTTAGCAGTCATAGTCGTAGCTGTAGCTAGTCATCAGTCGTAACAGTCGCAGTTGTATTAAAGGTCGCTATCAGTTGTAAGAATACAGTCGCTCATCTAAGTTGTAAAAGTAAGATTGTGTAACTATTATTGTACTTTTTCTAATACCTGTTTTAACCCATTGCCGCACACTTTTATTTGACGATCGTGCTTAGAAATACGAAGATCGGACGGTTATAGCCGTCATTTGCGGCAATGGGTTAAATAAATCTTATTAGTAGGATTAAACTTGGTGTATGTTCACCTCGCACCTCTCACCCTAAATAAAATTTCCTACATGTATTCATTAAAATTGTAATACAATATTTGAATAGGCAATTCAGTAATTTTATCATTAAGTTATCCATAAATTGGAGTCAATTTTGAAATAAATGAGCAATTTATTATGAAAAATGGACTTATGGTAGATCACTTTCAAAATTAAAGCGGCTTAGTGCCATAGTATTTTGTACATATTACATGTACATTAAAAATATAAATTGATACAAATTTTTTAGACAACCCAATATTTAAATTAACACATGCAGTCAACAGCTTTACAATATTACTAGCTGACCCAGCAAACGTTGTTTTGCCATGTAAATAATTTCTAAAGAATTTCTAGTGTAGAAAAAAAAATAACTAACTTATTGGAAGTGTGTAAGGATGTGGTATATGAGTGAAAAAGGCATGGAGCGCTGTGAACGATGAGGGAATATAAAAATAACAAAACACCAAACATTAATTTTTTTAATTTATTATAATTTATTTTAGGTAATAATTATAATTGTCCGTGTGAAAAACATAGTGTGCTCAAATCTAAGCCACAAACAGACATTGTTTGGCCTTGGGATATATTAATAGTTACTGCAAATTCCAATCTAATCGGAAATTGAATACGCTTAAATTGAATTGGCACATCTGTGGGTATAATAGGTATTCATGTTATTAATATATTTTCACCTTAAAACTTGCCATTTAAAATGGTAGCTTCGATAACGTTTTTCATTAATTTATTAATGACTAATCGCGTACCGTTGCACAGCCGTAGCGGGTTCAAATTACGAAGAAAAATAATTGGAGATCCAACCTTCAATTGTAAGTTATGCCGTGGCATGCCTGGCAAATCCAGTGAGTTCCAAAACTCTGTTAGAAAATTTACAGCTTCAGTGGCATCGCAAACTGTATCAATAGATTTATATGATACCAAGTCCCCTGGYAATAACTGTTATATCTTCAGATTCAAAATGTCAACGTCCACATTTTTTGCCACTAAAATTGCTCTTTCTGCAGGCCACTCGAGATTTATGTAATTCGTGTGTACTTTGGAAAATATTTGTTCAATGAGAGCATYTTGCGATTCAATGATTGTGCAGAAATCAGTCGGTAATTTTACGCATTCAGTTTCATCTATAGTGACTTTTCCATCGCCGATATCYAAGAGTTGTTTTGAAAATGTTTCAGCGGATGGATCTTGAAGCATTTGAACGCGCATATTTATTTTTAGCTGTAATTTTTCAACATTACGCCACAATGGAGATGATTTTAAGCAAGCGTTGATCTCATCAGCGTATGTTGAACGTGGAATGAACGTGGAAGTGTTTGTCTGAAGTCACCTGAAAGGACTAACAGAGTGCCACCAAATAGTTTGTCGTTGTTTTTAATATCTTTCAATGTCCTGTTCAACGCCTCAAGCGAATGTTTGTGTGTCATGGTACATTCATCCCACATGATAATTTTACATTATTTCAGCATTGCGGCTATGGACGATTGTTTTTTTATGTTGCACACTGCGTCAGGGTTATTTTAAATATKTAGTGGTAGCTTAAATACTGAATAAGCTGTTCTGCCTCCACCTAATAARGTTGCCGCAATGCCCGATSATGCAACGGCCAATGCAATGCCATTATTTGATCGTATTTCAGCGAGAATTAGCGAAATAAGGAATGTCTTGCCAGTTCCACCTGGTGCATCTAAAAAGAAGAACCCAACTTGTCCTGCTGAAACTGCGAGCATAATGCGGTTGTAAATGGTTCTTTGTTCCTCATTCATTAGTGGGACATTGCGAGTAAAAATTGCCGCCATTTCTACAGTGTTGTACTGYAGTTCAYGATTYATTTCAGTGTTCATTAAATCAGTTGCACCTCGATTTGGCGAATTCATACCGAAATGACTGAGTGGTAAGTTGGCAATGATAATGCAAAGATCCTCAATAGCAATCAATGCTTTATTGTACATATCGTCGCTGAATGTTATCRCTAGATCGTTACACCGTGTACGATGTTGATGCAATATATCATCAGTCATTAAATCTTTGTGATTATCCCACAATATCTCTGCTCGGGCTGGAAAACATGTAGTCAACACTATAGCGAATAGTAGACGAATTTGTATTGCTGTACAGTTTAATGTTGCTTCAGCAAGCATACATTCCCRCTGGTTGTTATCTTCTAGCAAGCTGAGTGCAAGGCATGCATCTTTATACGTTGGATATTGTTGCCCATTCACTTTACGTATATCTTGAAATGACAATGGGCCAGTAACATTAACCAACAACAGTCRAAGATAAAAGCACTC